CCCTCTGACCCTCCTCCCTCTCATGCTCTCTGTCTCTCATTCTCTCTCTCTCAAATAAATAAATAAAATCTTTAAAAAAAATAAAATAAAATAAAAAATAAAAAATCAGGGGAGTTGTAGTAGACAGCGTTGGCTTCCTATCACCCATTTCCACCCCCACTTCCTTACTTCATCAGCCTCCATGGCCCACTACATGTTCAGGAGATGCTGACTCAAACTGTTCAACTTAGCTGTCAGGAAAGGATGGGTTCTGATTAGTTTAAGCCATTGTCTGCATGTGTATCATCACCCCCCACTGGGAGCACAGGACCCACTTAAATGTTTTCTCTATCCTCATAGATGTGGACAAGATAATGCTGACTGACTCTGGCAGCCATCTTGTGACCACAAAGGGAACCAGCCAAGGACAAAGCTGTCATTGAGCATGGCAGGGCTGAGAGATAGTTTGGGTCTTTGATGCTCGTGGGAGCCCACCCTCTGTCTGCACTGCTGGTCCATTCATCCCCTTATTCTACAAATACTGACTGAGTATCTACTATGTAGCAAGCACTGTTTTAGATGCTGGGGAGACAGCTGTAAATCAAAACAGACAAAAATCCCTATGTCATGGAGCTTCCATTCCTGGGGGGAGGGGAGACAGTAGTGACAGATCATAAAAATAACTACAATACACAAGTAGTGTATCTAATATATATTAGAAAGTTATAAGTGCTATGTTAAATAAAAAAAAAAAAAACAGAGCAATTTGCTAGAATAGATTCTCCAACACTGAACTCCTGTATGTGTTGTGTGTTCTTTTCAGTAATAAATCAAAACACCCCTTTTGGAAGCTGACAGTTTTTTTAGTTTGCAATATGTAAGAATACATCATTGTGCACTGGAGTTGGGATTCTGATCTGAGTTTTTTCTAATCCAATTGAACCCATTGTGCATCAGTGGTTGAAGACAGGTGGAAATTATGAAGGACATGGGAGCATTCCTGGGTATTGGGATTTAAAAAGGCATTTGTCTTCGGGCAAGGGTAATTACCACATGAATAAATCTCAGAACTGCCTATTAGTGTTGCAAAGGTATCAGATGCAAACAAGGCAAATGACAACAAAACAATAAAATACATACAAATGTGGTGGTTATTATTTGAAATCTGGGTTACCCATGGACTGGCAATGAAAGTGAACCAATGCCATCATGCACCACATATTTTAGAGATGCTCCTAAATTCTGGCATAAACTTACCCAACATCAGGCATCATTTTGAAATGTACATAGAATACCATCTTAAAAACTGTCAGAGTAACTTAATGTTATGACTAGAACACAGTGTATCAGGAGATAAAATTGTAAACTCTGTGGAAGCCAAATGTGTAGGATTGTATTTAATTGCAATGCCTAGAACTGCTAAGTTTATTGACAAATTTTCAGTCCTGACACCAAAAAAGAAAAAAAAAAAGGGTAGAGAATGATGATCAAAGAAACCATAATGATTGACAAGATATCTCTGTCCCACAGAGTAAATTACAGAATGGCGGCCGATAGAAGGCAGCCATTTTTATTAGCACAACCAAGTGAAATGAGTCATTGCAAACTGGCAAACCTACTGATATTCTGAATCCTAATGTTCTTTTAGGGTTGTCAGTATGACAACCTATGAACTAGGTAAAGAAGCCCATGAAAATATTTTTAGGCTGCCAACCTTAACCGACTTGCACAGACAACTGACGAATGCCTCGTGATACAGCCCGGAAGTGAGAATCTGGGATAGGCACGCACAGGCTGAAGGTCTGGTTGGCAACACCAGAAGACCATCTCCACCTTCACGCTGTTACAAAGAAACAGTGCCCTTCAGAATATGTATGAAGACTTAAGACAGGTACTTAATGAAGCTAATAAAATTGTCAACCACGTCCCAAGCAGGCCGTTAAATAAATACCTGGCCTTTTTTCTTGGCTGTATGAAGAGACGGGTCATGACTGCAAAGCACCATTTCAAACGAAAGCTCATTGTCTTTTGATTAGAAAAGTTTTTGTTCTTTCAAGTTGTAAAAGGAACTTTATTTTTTTCATTGAAAACTCTCCCTGGGGGAGATATTGTGCGTGGCTGGGCCTGGCTTTACAGGTTAATCTCTGCGCTCATGTCAACTCCGGTGCGTGCTGTTACCAGGCAAGTGTAGGAGTGAGTGGTCCACCATGGAGACCCAGGAGTCGCAGCGCTGGAAACCTGGCCCCATCTGGCAGAGACCTTGGTCTGGGGAGTTGAGATTTTTGCCCTTGCCTGAAAGATCTGGTTAGTAACCCACCTGAAAATAGGAAGAGACACTTAGACGACTTAATAAAAGGGCTTTATAAGTCAAACTGGAAGTGGCTCGGTGGACAAGGAAACTCTTACGGCACCACTTTAGGACAACCCCAAATAACTTTGGACCTTTTTAAGAAGAGCGGGTTCTAGAGATAGCTTCAGATGGTTTCTTGAAACCGCTTTTTTTTGGTTCGTTTGGGTTTTTTTTGTTTTTGAATACAGTCATTTATATCGTTTTGTTCCACTTACGTCATTTTAAGTGGGAATTATTTCTCAGCATCTGATCCAGTCGGAGAAGACCATTAAACAGAGGAGTAGTCAACATTTACTAGCACTTTCCTTGTGCAAGGTGCCGTTGGAAGTGCACATACTCCTTTAATCCTCTCGATGACGCTGGGAGGCAGATATTATCCCGTAAATAAGCGACTGTTACTATCTCTGTTTTATAGATGATGAAACAGGCACAAAAGGTTAAGCATCTTGGGGCACCTGGGTGACTCAGTCATTAAGTGTCTGCCTTTGGCTCAGGTCATGATCCCAGGGTCCTGGGATCGAGCCCAACATCAGGCTCCCTGCTCCACGGGAGGCCTGCTTCTCCCTCTCCCACTCCCCCTGCTTGTGTTCCTGCTCTCCCTCCCTCTCTCTCTCTCTGTCAAAAAAAAAAAAAAAAGCATCTTGCCCTGGGTTGCACAGGCAGAGAAGCCAGGATTAAAACCCAGACAATTCTGGCTTCTCAAGCCAAACTTTCAACCATTATGTTATATATTTTAAATATACAAATATGTGTGTGTATATATTTAAAATAAGTGATACTTTATTGCTGCTGGAACAAATGACCACAAGCCTATTGACTCAAAACAACATGATTTTATTACCTTCGCATCATGGAGGTCAGTAGTCTGAAGTGGGTCTCACTGAGCTAAAATCGAGGTGTATTCAGGGCTGCGTTCCTTCTGGAGGCTCTAGGGAAAATCTGTGTCCTTGCTTTTTTCATCTTCTAGAGGTTACCTGCATTTCTTGGCTCCTAGCCCCCTTCTTCCGTTTTCAAAGACAGAAGCCTAAAACCTTCAGTTCTCTCTCTCTGACTCTGACGATGGTTCTCTTGTCTCCCTCTTTGGCTCTAAGGACTCTCGTGATTACATCTGGATAATCCAGGATAATCTCTTTATTTTAAGGTCATTGACTAGCAACCCTAATTCCATCTGCAACCCTAATTACTCCTTTCGACAACACAACATATTCACAGGTTCCAGGGATTGGGACATGGACGTCTTAGCAAGGTCATCATTCTGCCTACCACAACTTTCTTACTTCAAAATTCAAAACTTAAAACACAAAAAGGTGTACAGTGGAAAATCTCCCTTCTGTGTCTGTGCCCTGGTCACAGATAGGAAGCTCCCTTCTCCAGAAGCAACTGATGTTATCCTGTGTCCTAGATTTATTTTATGCATATAAAGGCAAATATGTATATTTGGGTTTCTAAAAGAATTTTACCTTCACTATAAACACTGTCCTACATATTGCTTTTTTTTTTTCCATTTAAAAAATATGTCCTGGAGTTCATTCAGGTTGATATATAAAGATCTGTGTCGTTCTTTTTGTGTCTGCATAGTCTTTGATTACATGGGATGGATCTCATGTTGTACTGATTTTTACTTATCC